ATGATTGCTATTTGTTTTCTTTAAACTACTGAAATTATCACGGTTTCTTTTTACAAAACCCAGCAAGTACATTATTAGTCAATTGTCAAGGCGCGCATAATCTCCCACAGGTGTATTTACTTATCCCATTGATTAATACAGCATCAGATCTTGTGCGGAAATTTGGGTTGAGTGGGTTAACCCACGTTTGATTATTTATTTGCCTCTCGCTGGTGTTTCCTTTAATATATTCCTTTGAAAATAAAATGTATACTTTATCTGCAAATAGCAGTATGGTAACAATCATCACAATATGATCTCTATTAATCTTTTCTTACATGAAAGGGACACTGTAGGCACCCAAACCACTACACAGCCACTACACAACCTATGCAATGCTTAGTGAATATTCCCCTAGAGCTACAATATATATACACAGAGCTATATACAGTGGCGTACACATGACCCATGGGGCCCCGGTGCGAAAATTGATCCGTGCCCCCCCCCCCGCGCGCGGGCCAGGCCGCAACACATGGCGGTGGGCACCTGGTCGCAGGGGTTACAGGGCTGCGTCCCCTGCGACCGCGGTATGTACACCAGTGCATGCAGATGCACACACACTTAAAGGACCACTACAGACACCCAGATCACATCAGCTCAATGAAGTTGTCTGGGTGTCAGGTCCTTCTAGTTTTAACCCTGCAGCTGAAAACATAGCAGTTTCAGAGAAACTGCTATGTTTCACTGAGGGTTAATCCAGCCTCTAGTGGCTGTCTCACTGACAGCCGCTAGAGGAGCACACTGAATGTCCATAGGAAAGCATTGAGTAATGCTTTCCTATGGGCGGTTTGAATGCGTGCGCGGTCGCATTCGGAGCTGAGAGGCTGAGGGATCTCCAGCGCCAAGGGAGTCTGGCGCTGGAGAAAGGTAAGTGCTGAAGACACACACACTCTCACTTACAGAAGCATACACACTAGCTAACAGACACACACATTTACTGACAGAGACACACTCAGCGACAGACATACATACACACTCACTTAAAAAACATACACTCTCATTGACAAACACAAACTCACTAACAGACTCATTAACACACACACACACACTCAGTAAGACACACACAGTAACACACTCACTGACACTCACACTAACACTCACTCTAACACTCACTCACACACACTCTAACACTCACACATGGTTTAAAAAAAAAAAAATGAATCCCCCCAGCCTCCTTACCTTTTGGAGTGCTGGGGCCTGGGGGGATTCCCTGGGGTCCAGTGGTGCTGCTGGGCTGGCTGGTCGGGCAGGCGGGCGCGCGAGGGAGCACTCTGCTCTGAGTGCTTCCTCTTCAGCTCCCTCGCGCGCCGCGCAGGGATGCCGGCGCCGGAAGATGACGTCATCTTCCGGCTCCAGTATCAGTGCGGTGTGCGAGGGAGCTGAAGAGGAAGCACTGAGTGCTCCCTCGCGCACCCGCCTGCCGGGTGTCAGCAGGGCCAGCCTCAGGGGCCCTGGGGGGGTCGGCTCCTGGGCCCCCCAGGGGAAGAGGCTGGCCCAGTGGGTACATACCGGGTCGCAGGGGCGGCCGGGCCCCCTGGTGGGCCGGGCCCGGTCGCAGCCGCGACCCCTGCGACCCTGGTATGTACGCCACTGGCTATATATATATTTTAGTCAGTCTCATGTCCTGCTTTCTGCTTCTATATTTCTTATTACATAGCTAAAGTAATACTGTATACATAGCTTAAGACCAAATGGTCAGTATGCCTGATTATAATACAAGATAGTGGTAGATACAGGATATCACTGGTATGATATTTTTACAGGATGGTCTTCCTCCGCTAAAGGAGTCTTAAATATCATACTGCACTCACTAATTGTTGTGATATGTCCTTTCTTTCTCCTTACCTGTTTTAACCTATGGGTGTATTGCAAAATGAGACATGGATTTAATAACATATTATCCTGTAACCCACAGATATCTGGACAAGGTTTCCTTGATGGCTCCTTTGGTGTGAGATGTCAAGGGAACCGAGGTAAAGATCTAATTAAAGTCCCACAGGTATAACTAGTATACCTGGACATACCTTGCCTAGAACTCTCACATTGGGCTCCAGAAGAGGGGCATTGTCATAGATAAAAGTAAATAAAGGGTTAAAACGTTTCTGCAGCTGCTCCTTCTTTCTCATGAAATGTTAATTTTGCTTTAAGCTTGTAGATAAGACTCTCACGTAAGCAATTGTCCATTGTTTCCATGTACACATGCGCAGTAGCCTATATAGACAATACTCTGGTATTTTGGCACATTGATTCCATGTACACATGCACAGTAGCCTATATAGACAATACTCTGGTATTTTGGCATCTTGTCTACTGGACTAATACAGCTAATCCAATCTACACTACTATATATATATATATATATATATATATATATATATATATATATTTGTGTGTGAGGGGGGTGCTGTGTGTTAGGGATCGACAGATTATCGGTCTGGACGATATTATCTGCCGATATTCTGTATTTTCAGCGATATCGATATAGGCCAATAAAGATACCGATATTGCCGCTCGGGTCCCAGCATACTCTTACTTACCGTCCCAGCAGCTCCCTTCAGCTCCTCTGTCTAACTCTCGCGAGTCCTGCAGCCGTCAGAGCATTGCCATGGGTTACCATGGCAAAGCTCCACGTGGCACGCAACCTGCGAGAGTTAGACAGGGGAGCTAAAGGGAGCTGCTGGGACGGTAAATAAGAGTGTGCTGGGACCCCCAGGACTGTCGCAGGACCCCCAGGGGAATGCCATATCCTCCCTCCCTGGCCAGGTATGAAGCAGAGAGAAGGGGTCTAAAACTTTGTAAAAAAATTAAATATTTAAAAAAAAATTATTTTTTTTTGAAAATCTTTTATTTTGTAGAAAGAGTAAGTAGTACAGAGTGAACATAACGTTATCCTCGTGGACACGCAGGTCCGATATGAAAATACACGTAGTCAACAGCTTACATGCAACATAAGTAGCACCCGGGTAGATTTGTGTGTGTACATTGTATCAAGTATCGCAGTGATCTGTGTTGCAACTGTCAGATGGTTGTTCTAAGCTTGTACCAGCATTATTCATTAGCAAGGACTATAGCATCCATCAATAGGGCCACTCTCAGTAGGGTGTAGCCTGTTATACCGTCTGAGCGCATGTAATCGCGTGGGAGTTACCACAGCGTGGCTGACGTAGTTGAGTCAGGAGTGTCCCTTATTTCTGTTGCTCTCTCGGTCCCTGTCCCAGGGTGTGTTTTACTACCGTATATCGCGGTGCTGTATTCGTGAACCGGTGCTTAGCTAATGTTAGGAGGTGCAGTCTTCACAAGGTCTCGGTGGTTAGTCATGCGTCCTGATTTTGGGTGATGGAAGCGTATATTTAAAAAAAATTAATTGAATTAATCAAGCACGAAAGGGTGCAGCACGCTTAATAATTGGAATTGGAATCACAACATCTAAAATTGAACTACTATAACTAAAGGAAAGCGGAATTTTTTTTGTTAAATTGGGAAAAACAAATAAATAAAGAAAAAAAAAATAATAAATAAAGAAAAGAAAAAAAAAGAAAAAAAGAAAATATATAATGACAACAAGGAAAACAGCGGATCAGAAACAAGACTTGAAGTCTCTTTCAAAAAAAGACCGGGAAAAAAAAGATAAACAGGAAAAGAGACTTTCAAATTTTTTTAATGCTCCAGTAGACAAAAGCATTTTGGAATCCTCTTTGATTTCTACGCCAAATAAAATGCCTTTAAGTAAGCACACAGGAGATCTAAAGGAGGTAGAACCACAAGAATCTTCAGAGGAACTAATGATCACTCAAGCATATTTAAAACAATGTTTAGATCAACAATTGGATCAAATCAAGTTGGAAATGCAAGGGAACTTTGTAAAGTTAAAGGAGGAAATAATATCTGTTGGACAAAAAGTTAAAATAAATGAACAGAAAATAGAAAATCTGGAATTCCTCCTACAGAAGCAAAAAGAATCTATAGAAAAACAACAAACGAAGATTAATGAATTGGAGGAGAGATTAACTAATATAGAAGATAGAGGAAGAAAAAACAATTTAAGAATAAGAAACATACCAGAATCTATTTCGCAGGGCAATTTGGCAAATTTTCTTGCGGAATTTTTTGAAGCTCTCAAAATCAATATCGATGATAAGAGGGACTTTCTTGAAAGATCTCATCGGTTAAATAAACCAGGAACACTTCCAGACAATTTTCCAAGAGATATAATTATCGCCTGTCATTCTTATTCATTTAGAGAAAAGATTTTGAAAGCAGCAAGACAAATGGAAAGAGATCAAGGCAAATTTAAAGATATAAAAGTTTTCCCAGATTTGTCCTTTCATACTAGGCAAGCGAGAAAACAATTTATTCCAGCTACCCTGCGTCTGAGGGCAAAAGATCTAAAATATCGATGGGGATTTCCAACTAAACTTATAGTTACTAAGGATGGGACTATACACATATTTGACTCACTTGACAAGGTCACAAAGTGGTTGGAAAATTTGGTTTAATTATGGTAATAACTTGAATAAGTAAGATTCAGCTCTCTGATTGATCTAGATTTTACCCCTACTAGACCTTATTGGGAAAGGTTTAATAGTTTTGTTAAAGGAATATGTATTATTTCATGGTTTTATGATTAAGCACTGATGAAATTAATATGTGGGATGGTGTAGTAAGTTTATTATAAGGGAAAATATTTAGAGTAGTATAAGTTATAGAATAAACGATAGGAGGAATGAAAAAATTGATAAATTTAAATAGGTAAGATATGTGGATTATCCTCACGATGAAACACTAAATGAGTAAACACTAAGTAAAATAATAGATATAAGTGGCACTTATAAAAATGGATTAAATGAAAGTAGGTAGAATTATATTATAGAGATTAAAGTATTGGAATAGTTGTGATGATCACTGGAGTCACTTTAGGATATTTTTAAAATTATTGAAACACGGTAATTTAGTTGAGACTATAGAAAGATAAAATATTTGCACTTGGGAAATAGTTATTTATACTTGGAAAATAAAAATGGAAATGTCTGATAGTAAGGAAGTAATATTCTCACAAATAGTCTTAAGAGAGAAGTATGGGAAAAGTAGGTAGGGATTCGTAAACAACTGGAAGAGGAGAGAACTGGATAGATTCTTTAACATAAACAGAAGAGTCTAAAATGAGGATCTAGAGAAGCTTTGTAATAAACGCTTGGAGGGGGGAGGTAATGTGTTATGGGAGCAGGCGAAGATAATAGGTAAAACTAAGGGACGATCCTAGCTCAGCTTTTAATTTTTCCTCATTTAGTAATTTTCTATATGAGGACTAGACTCCATTTAGGGAATTTTTCCCTTTTGGATCTAAACCCAGAGGTTAATACTCAGGGTTTGTTGAATGACTGCCTCTTGTATATGAGAGGATGGGGTATGTTTGGTATGAAAGTGGTAATTGTGAAGGGGGCTCATCCTCAGAATAGAAAGAAGTTCAGAAAAAAGATTAAAAAAGAGAAATGGTTAAAGTTATATCGTTAAATGTTCAGGGTTTAAATTCCCCTAGTAAACGAGCAATTTTGTTCGATTATATTAAGAAAGAAAAAGCTCATATCGTCTTTTTACAGGAGACACACTGGAAAAGAGATGATAAGTTTAGATTCATTCCACAAAGTTTCTCAACAGTAATATCCGCCACATTAGAGAATCAGAGGAAAAGAGGAGTAGTCATTATGATAAGTGAGGACTTAGATGCTAAAATCATATATCAAGAATCAGATGAAGAAGCTAGATTTATTATAGTGATAATTAAAATCCAATCAGAAATTTATACGTTAGTAAATGTGTATGCGCCTAATAATCCCTCTAATAAATATTTCTATAACCTTTTTGATAAAGTAGATAAAATAAAACAGGGTAAATTACTTTTGGCGGGTGACTTCAATCGGCTCCCAGATGTAAATATGGATAGGAAAACCTTAAATCCTGAGGGGTCAATTAAAGGGGTAACCGCAAAAGCTGTACAATTTCAAAGGATAATTAAGAAATATGGATTCATGGATATATGGCGAGTGCTTCATCCACTGGAGAGGGATTTTACATGCTTCTCCAGAGCATATTTCTCATACTCAAGAATTGATTTATTTTTGGGTAGTGTTGGATTTATTAATAGTACTAAAAAAGTTCTTATAGATGAGGTAACTTGGTCCGATCATAATGCCATAATCTTGGAGTTGGACATAGTGGATAATAGTGCAAGACGTACCCATTGGAGATTAAATGATAATATTCTTTCCAGTAAGGAAAATAGAGAATATATAGAGGAGATGACAGCTTTTTTCAGGAAAATGAGGGGGGAGAAGTATCACTGCCGATGGTCTGGAACGCATATAAATGCGTCATAAGAGGCTATTTAATTAAGTTAGGTACAATCGATAAAAAAAAAAAGGGGAGACCCCTGAAGGATTTATATGTAGATTACTATAACTTATCGAATGAAAATAAAATTTTACCAACTCAGGAGAAAAGTATAAATATGCTATTATTGCAGAATCAAATAAATGAATTATTAATTGAGGAAAAAAAGAGAAATCTCCAACTCCTAAAGATTAATTGGTATTATAAGAGTAACAGGGCGGATAGGCTGCTTACAAATAAATTGAAAAACAAAAAACAAATGAGGAGGATACATAAAATTGAGGAAGGAAAAGAAACGTTATTAAGTCCGAAAAAAATTGGGTCAGCTTTTAATGACTATTATAGTCGATTATATAACTTAGAATCAGTGGGACAACAACCCCCATCTTCAGAGTATTTTAAAAACAAAAAAATGCCAAAAATAACTAGGGAACAACTCAACGAGATAAATAAACCAATAACCCCAGATGAAGTTATAGTAGCTATAAACAAGTTACAGATAAATAAAGCCCCTGGTCCAGATGGTTATTCAAATAAATTTTATAAAATATTTAAAGATACCCTTTCGACTCGTCTCGCTAGGATATTTAATATAATAGTGGAAAATTGTGTGTTTCCTAGGGAGATGCTTCAAGCGAATAACGTTCCTATTTTGAAGCCGGATAAGGATCCAGCAAAATTGGTGAATTATCGTCCAATATCGCTTTTAAATGGGGATGTAAAGATTTACGCCTCAATTATTGCAGATAGATTAAAAACATGTATTCCGACTTTAATACATCAGGATCAAGCTGGATTTGTATACGGCAGAGTAGCATCAGACGGATTAAGAAGAATAATTGATGTACATGACGCTGCGAATAGGAAAAGAGCTCCCCTTCTGACCCTGTCATTAGATGCTGAGAAAGCATTTGATAGGGTCAGATGGGACTTTCTGGGAAACACATTGAAATCATATGGCATAGTAGGAACAGTCTATGATGCCATTATGGCACTATACACAGTTCCTTCGGCAAGGACCATTGGCCCTGGGATAGAGGCAGATTGGTTTACTATTAAAAACGGAACCAGGCAAGGATGTCCTCTTTCCCCGTTACTTTATGTTCTGACCATTGAGCCTCTTGCAGAAGATATAAGACAAAACGGAAAGATTGAGGGGTTTTGGCTTAATAATCTAGAACATAAGATTAATCTATATGCGGATGATGTCATGCTTATGATGCAGAATCCTAGATCATCATTGCGGGAATTGATAAGAATACTAGATCATTATAGTGTATTCTCAAATTATAAATTAAATATTAACAAGACCACAATAATGACAACTAATTTATCCAGGAAAGATAAGGATTTTATTAAAATATCCTATGATTTTGTCTGGGTTAAGGAATATATCTCATTCCTTGGCATAAAAATAACAAGAGATATGAATAGAGTTATTGAAGTTAATTTTCTTCCTCTTATAAAAAATACTAATAAATTATTAAAAGAATGGGCAGGCAAGGAGATTTCTTGGATAGGCCGCATAAATACTATTCGATCATATATTTTGCCTAAATGGAACTATCTTTTTAGAATGATACCTATACAAGTTCCCAATCCATGGTTAAAAATGATACAATCAGCCTTTTCTAAATTTATTTGGAAAGGTAAAAAACCAAGAATAAGTTTACAGTTAATATCTAAGAAAAGAAAAGAGGGAGGTCTTGCTGCCCCAAATATAATTGAATATCATGACGCATGTATGTTGGCCCATACTGTTAACACATTAAGTATAGATCAAAAAGATCAATCTTGGCATCATATAGAGCAATCACTAGTAGAGACAAGCAGCCTATCCTCCCTGTTTTGGACAACAAGGAGGAATTTAGAAAAAAATAATTTGGTTCATCCAGAAAATTCGACAATTATAGATAGTATATGGAGATTCTGGTATAGATTTAAGAAAAATTATAAAATAGAATATAGATTATTCCCTTTTCTACCCATGGAGGTGATTAATAATAATATTGATGATATTAGTATTAGAGGTTGGATACAAAAAGGTATTACGCACATTCAACAAATTATAGACGTAAAGGATCTTAAGTCATTTAGCCAGCTACAGGTAGAATTTGGGATTGAAAGTAAGGAGGTTTTTACATATTTGAGAGTTAAGTTTTATTTGACGAAATTCTTGGATATTCAGCTTAATAAAAATATAAGTAACATTAAGAAGATTATGGAAACATATAGAACTAAAGGTCATATTTCTAGATGTTATGAATTCTTAAAGCTATCCCAGAAGGCTCCTCTTTGGAAATCTAAGAGTAAGTGGGAAAAAGATTTACAAATAGTAATCTCTGAACAAGATATGATAAATGCGATAGAGAAAGTTAATAAATCGGTACACTGCTTGAACATAGTAGAGAATTTTTATAAACTCCTAAATAGATGGTATATGGTCCCAGAAAAATTGGCTAAAATGTATCTAGATCAGAGTTCTTTTTGTTGGCGATGTGAAGATGCGAAAGGAGATTATCTCCATATTTGGTGGCATTGTACAGTTTTAAGTAAAATATGGAAGGAGGTATATAAGCAGATTTATAACTCATGTCAGCTAAATATACCTTTTACACCACAAAGTTTTTTGTTACATCTGGGATGGCCTTCTATGTCCCCTGAGAAACAAATGTTGATAATTCATATTTTAATGGCAGTAAAGTTAGCGGTGGCTAGAAACTGGAAAAGTAAAAAAGAAATACAGTGGAGTGAAATCAAAATACAGGTAATATATCAATGTAAGATGGAAAAGGGATTAATTTTAGATAACTCTGTAGGTTTGAAGAAATACAGTAAATGGGAAATAATGGTTGATAACTTTATTACTAACTATTAGAACTTATAATTCTTAGGATACGAGCCGCCTCGAATGCGAGACTGACTCTCGAGGAACTTTAGTAACAATGTACCTTATGGGAAGGACGGGAAAAGTGGATAAGTGTAGGATTGGTTCCCCGGGATTGTATGTATGTGTGAATGTAAAGTAAAAAAAAAATAAATAAATAAATAAATAAAATGAATTTAACCCCTGAGGGTTAAAAAAAAAAAAAATTAACCCTCAGGGGTAAAAAAAAAAAATCAGATGACAGTAAAATGTAATCCCTGCCAATTGATCACTGTAGTCAGTGGATTTAACTTTAAATAAATTGAGCTCCGGAGGGGTAAAAAAATAAAATAAAAGTTAATCCTCAGGGGTTAAAACAAAATTAGATCACAGTATAATACTGTGATCTGTATTTTGATCACTGTAGGCAGTGATCAACTGACAGGGAAGGGGTTCATTTTTATATGGACTGGGTAAAGGGGGGTGGTAATTTTTTTTTTTTACTTAAACATTACTAAAACATTTTTTTTAAAAACTTTTTTTAACGATTTAAAGCTTACTTTAAAACTTTTTTAAATTTAACCCCTAGTTAGCCTAACATAGAAACATAGAAACATAGTATGTGATGGCAGATAAGAACCATTCAGCCCATCTAGTCTGACCAATAAATTATTTCCCCCCAATTCCCCACTAACTTCCACAAACCCCAGTTAGCTAAATATATAATTTTTAAATATTTAAATTAATTAATAAAATGAATTTAACCCCTGAGGGTTAAAAAAATAAAAATTAACCCGCAGGGGTAAAAAAAAAAATCAGATGACAGTAAAATGTAATCCGTGCCAATTGATCACTGTAGTCAGTGGATTTGACTTTATTTTTTTATTTTTTATAGGGAGAAGAGGATCAACACTGATCCATCTCACTGCACTTCACAGTGAACCAGGAAGTGCAGGGAGGCGGATCGTGAGTCCCTGCAGCACATGTGCTCGCTCTGACAGCCTGTCAGAGTGATCACTGCTGAAAGGACAGCACGAGCCGGTGCTCCCCGTCTGCTTCGGATATCGCAATCGCCTTAGAAAATGACGGAAATTTTCCGTCAACGGTCCTTAACTGAAGGACAAGGTTGATGGAAAATTTCCGTCTCCGGTCGGGAAGGGGTTAAAGGAGTGGAATGATATGTGGAAAGGGAAAATAATTTAGTTACATCTATATAGGAAACTGAAAAGTCCTGGTGTCT